ATGTCCAATACAAGTCAGACTCCTATCACCTATTCAATAGAAACAGATACTATTATCATTACTCGATGATTAGTGGTTGTTGTTGGGAAGTATAAACACCTTGGTGTTCACCTGGACAACAGACTGAACTTGACACCAGAGAGACAGAGCAGAGTTAACCTTTTGAGGAATCCTTCAGTGTTTTTTTTTTTTCTTCTAACCAGTTAAAGTGACTGAGGTCAAAGTTCTCATTCTCAACAGCAACCTTTTAACAAAATGCTGCATATCTTCCATAAATCTGTTGTTGCCATCTTTTCTAGCATTCTGTTGGGGCAGCAGCAACAGAGCCAGGAACTTACAGCTCAAAAAACTGATAAAGAAGGTTGGTTCTGTTCTGGGAACTACTGTGAAACATCTGGAGATGATGGTACAGAAATGCTTTTATATAAAATGAAGAACATTGTGGATAAAGAACATTAAATTATGTAGTACGAGTTACAACATTCAAGTTACCTCTAGGATTATATAAGTATTTTTGAATGTAACTGAACAGATAGACACTGATGTATTGTTTCGTCCTAAGCAAATAGATACAGGAAGAGTTCAACTGGGTGCCAGCCAATGATATGTGTGGCTCCTTTAAGAGATGTCCGACGAAAGAGGAAAACTCGAAAGCTGTTAAGTTTGGACTACATTGCTACCCGTGCTTCACTGACATCTTTGAGTTGGATAAGTTCGAACGAGTCTGCACCGATTTTAGGTTTCACCTCTTAAACAGCCCGGAATGGCTTTCCAGTGTCAGAGAGACTGTTATATGAAAGAGGTACGAGTCTCTAACGCGGAAACATAACCTTTAAATCCTGCTGGAGCTTCTAGCATGGCTGCTAAACTACAGTAGCTAAAGCTAACTTCACTTTTATTTTCAAGAATTAAAGTTTTTGTCTATTTTGAGCTTTGAATTGTGTGTTTATATTCATTGTGAATAGCATTTACTTACGGTGTTGCTCTTAAATCAATTGCAACATTGCCATACAAAATAGAAAAGCATTGCTGGCTGACCCATTTCCATTCATTCGCTTTCAGTTTGTCACCTCTGTGGTGTCCTGCTGTCCTGCGGAACTAAAACAAGAAGTGAATGGAAGGAAAGAAACCCTTAAAGGTTTTAATGTCCTGCTCAAAGATACAATTTTATTCCCTGAGGGAGGAGGCCAAGTAAGCGTATTCATCATTAAGCTTGTTCCACCACTGAAAGTGTGTGTGACGCTGTTTTCTTAATGCTCTCACAGCCAGATGACCATGGTCTGATTGGAGAGGTTCCAGTTTTAAGGGTGACCAGGCAGGGACCGGATGCAGTCCACTTTGTGACCTCACCTGTGGAGGTGGGTCAGGAGGTGCGCGTGACGGTAGACTGGGAGAGGAGATTTGATCATATGCAGCAACACTCAGGTGAGGAAGAGGAGGGTCAAATAGCAGTGCTTTAACTGCCCTGAGATAGAAATGCTTTCCAAGAATGTACGCATTTTTCTCCTTTTGTCACAATCACAAACATCCAGGTATGTTATTAGGGTGCTATGTAATAGGTCAACACCAAAATTGTGCGATGTGAAATGGAAGGGAAATAACACGTGGTTTTTCAATTTCACTACAAATGAAAATCTGAAAAGATTGGTGCAAATTTGGATTTAACTGATTTTATTTTGATGCCTCTGAATAACATCCAGGGCTACCGGATGAGTTCAGAAGTCCTTTAATTGGAGAACAAAGTCCATTTGTGTCCAAATTATTCTCAGCATAAATTCAGCTGTTCTGTTTCTGGCCTCAGAGGTTTGTTAGAGAACAATGCAGCATCATGGAGACCGAGCAGCACAGCAGACAAGTCAGGGAGGAAGTCCAGTCCTGACGGAGAGAGCCATTTTGCAAAAGAAAAAAGAGGAACAGATTTAGAGATAACCCAGAGCCCATGTGTAAGCGGCATGAGTTAGATTCATCATGTGAATGTAGCGTTGTCACTGGGCTGGTGGAAAGAATAGATGAGGAAGGTGGGCGTGATTGAATGTCAGATTTTCATATTTATTTGTCCCTGAAGAAATACAGTGAGCTGAGATTGCAACATGAAAAAATAAAATGTTCTAATATTTAGTTTTCTTCTTCTTTAGGCCAGCATTTAATCACAGCTCTGGCAGATGCAATGTTTGGATACAAGACCACTTCCTGGTACGTCATCGGATCAGTTTCACTGTTTATAGAGACCTGAGCATCTCCCTAGTCTGTTGTCATTTCCCCCCTCCCTCTCTTCAGGGACTTGGGACGTCACAGAAGCACAATCGAACTGGACACTCCGTCTGTTAAAGCCGCGCAGCTTCAGGAACTGGAAGAAGCCGTGAATGAGAAGATTCGATCTGGGATTCCCGTCAGTGTTCAACTCCTTGATTTAAGTGACCCTGCTGTGGAGAAAGTGCGTACGCACACACACACAGGTTGTACTCTGTAGCTGTGTTTCCATTTACCATAAAATTGCACAAATTATAATTACAAAAATAAATTTGCTCAATGGAAACACGCCAGCACACATTTTTGAGAAGTTTTTGCGCAAGGCTTAAGTGGTTTCTCAGACGTATTGAAATGGGTGGATTTTACAAACTGCAATAGAAACACTTTTTTCACATCGCACAAGTCACATGATCAACAGCCGGATGTTACTACTGGCGAAAACGAAGACGACAGGAAGTTGTTGTAGGATGATAGTTTTTGTTTTTTCAATGTTCAGCTGGCTCCACCAGAGCTCTCACAGCATCACAGTTCATCAAAAGTTGTGCGTTATTTGAACGTGCTGAATCCAAAATCTTCTGTAAAATCTTTGTCTAATTTCTCCAAAACGCCGCATAGATAACCGCTCCCAAGTAGGCGGGGCTTGTCACTCCAACGCCTGAATAAGACACCAAAATCTAATCTTATGCCTGAAATATGAATGTGTTACAGTTTAAAAACCACAGCAGTGACGGACATAATGATTTATCGCATGAACAAGCTTATTCACGTGATTTTAATTTCATTTCTCATTTAATAAAAACACTGCAAGTGTGAAATAGATTTTTGTACAATAGCTGAATATAGACAGATTTGTGCACATTAGTAATGGAAACACAGCAGCAGACACTGAGCTCTGTGACTCAGTGACTGAAACGTGATCACTTTGTGTGAGGCAGGTGAGAAGTCGGGGGCTGCCAGACGACCATGCAGGGCCTATTCGAATCATCGACATGGAGGGCATTGATGCCAACATGTGCTGTGGAACCCATGTGACCAACCTCAGCCACTTACAGGTGACTCCATCACTCAGAAACAGACATCAGCTGAGGTGGTTATGATAAAAACAACTTCTCTCTCGATTTTTCATCTCAGGTCATAAAGCTGCTGGGAACAGAGAAGGGAAAGAAAAACAAAACCAACCTGATCTTCCTTACAGGGAACAGAGTCCTGAAGTATGCGGAGAAGAGCTACAGCACAGAGCGATCGCTGGTCTCTCTCCTGAAGTAGGTTCAAATTGACATGTCTGAAGAATCCCCACAATGCAAAGCTCAGGGATAAAAGCATCGTCTTGGTCATTACTCCACAGGACAGGTCCAGACGAGCACGTCGAGGCCGTGGAGAAGATCCAGAAGTCTGTCAAGTTGCTCCAGAAGGTAGAAGGATTTCAGCTTCTGTCTGAAGCTGGAGCGCTGAAGTTTTATCCAACCCATCACAATCTGTTTCCAGAGCAACCTGAGTCTGCTGCGGGACATGGCCGTCCTTATTGCTCGGGACTTTAAGAACAACCCTCACAGAGGAAACTTCTTCAGCTTTCACAAGTAAGAGACGGTCAACATAGAAAACTATTCATTACAATCAGAAAATAAGGATTTATGGGGGGATTTTATGTGAGTCACTTAATATTACATTACTGTGTAAAGTTGAAAAGAATAAAGAGAACTGAAAAAAAGAAAAGTTGAGGTTTGTTGTTGGGAAGCACGATATATCAGCATTCACAACGGTATCGGCCTGATGAGTAGAACTGTGTTGATAACAACCTATGTTTATTTCAGGAGGGGGCGGGGCTTGTCCCTGTGTGTAGCTCCAGCTCAGATGTCATAAGTTTTTCTGGATGATAAATTGCGATAAATGATAACATTTGTGTTTTGAGACCATTTTCAATTAATCTAGTGGTAATGGTATAATGCAAGTACAGCCTCTCAAAGGTCAACAAACTAATTTCAAAAGTACCTTTAACACTGGAACCCCACATTTAAATATACCAAAACAATAAATAAAATGGATTATGTCATCCCTAAACAAAATTGACAAATTACTTAGCATCAAATGTTTGCAGCACTTTTCAAAATGGCAGCTTTACAAAAATATTAAAGGGCATCACATTATTGCACTTATTTCAGTTTATCATGCGATCAACAGGCTTACTGAGAAGCCTTGACAGTGGATTAATATATTAATATTTCAGTGTTAAAATGGCATAGAAATATCTCAGTAAATATTGGTTATCAGCCCACACTAGCAATGTTATTGGCCCAATTTATCGTTTTTTTTTTGTTTTGTTTTTTTATTGGTGCATCCCTAGTTTGTAGTTGTAATATGAGGAAATGTGCAAACTTTGAGGGGATGAATAAAAACCTTTGCAATGCATTAGAAATGTTTGACAATAATTGAAATTTTCCTCTAACTACAGAAAAGAAGGTGACAATGAGTTCATGAACATCATCGCCAATGAAATAAACACAGAGGTAAGACCTCCACCTGCCTGCTTGAGCCCCGCCTGATAATCCTGGAGTAATGATTTTATTTGCCTGAAGGAAACTCTGGTTTTCCTCACTGTTGGAGAGGAAAAGGGAGCCGGTTTGTTTCTCCTTGCTGGACCCAGTGGACAAGTCACTGAATTAGGCCCACGGTAGGAGAGTCTGATACTTTTGTATTATTAAAAAAAAAAAAAAAAAAAAGAGCTGTTGAAGACGCCTCTGTTCTCTTCAGGATTTTGGAGTTGCTTCAGGGAAAAGGGGCGGGGAAGAACGGGCGTTTCCAAGGCAAAGCCAACAGCCTGGCGCGCAGAGAGGAGGTGGAGGCTTTCCTGAGGCAGCGCTGCAAACATCACAGCTCAGAGGAAGAGTAAAGCCTGCAGCAGAGAGCGCCCCCTGGAGGGAAGACCTTAAACCCCAGAAAAAGATGTGTACAGAACCCTAGAATAAAGTCACATTATTGCAGTGGGATGCTCAGTAGAACATTTAGAAAAGTTTGAGCTTTATTTAGGAGCAAATTTATACATAAACAGTTTACAAAATAACTGGCACAACTGCTGGCACCTGTTCTGCTAACAGAACAGGGTGTTTACACGGCTTCTCTAGATTCTCACAGCTGTTCTACCAGATTTCGGTCTGAGGCTTGGCCTGACCCAGAGAGAAGGTTCAACCTGTTTAGTGGCTCATTCCCCCCCGATGGCCCATTTGCAGTTTTCTGGTGCAGTTCACCACAATTCTATTTAAAATGTGAAAGTTGTATTTCTAAGCGTTAATGACGGCAGGTGCTGGATGCTTTGCCCTCAGCATCACAGGTCTCTCACCGTACTGAGGTGGTAACAGCTTGGGCTGTTTGATGTGTGGCTCATCTGAGGACATGGATGCAGCTAAAGCTACAGTTTAGCTTAGCATGCGGATATTTGTAATGTTAGGAGTTATTACGGCAACCACAAGATGCCACAGTATGCTGCAGCTCTGTGACAGTTTGGGAGTTTTTGTCACCATTTACACCCATAAAAACCAGAAAGTCATGAATTAGACATTTCTTGAAAAGTCAGAGAAATGAAATGTGTTGCATTTGTTGTATTAGTCATTTTGTTAAACATTTCTTATTGTGGACTTTCTTCCATGCTGAATAAAGTTTGTCCAGAATTAGGTTGTTTTCTAAACATTTTAGTGACATTCTGCAATATATGTTGAGTTTATATTATACAGAGCTCTGTACACATCTTTACCAAAGATGCCAGTTTGTCTATTTCTGTATGTACATATTAATTATTTTTGGTTTGCTGAAATACTGGAGCACTTTTCTAATGATGTACATATTTCAATGTGAAATACTGACAGGTGGCTCCTATATCCATGTGAAACACAGGATGATGATTCAGGATAGAAATGCAGCCTCCGTTTAAATCCAGCTGTTTTTACGGTGCACCGTCTGAGATGCTTTTGTTGTTTATTTTATCTCCATGTGAAACATTAAAAAAACAAGACCTAGTTTGCAGAGAGATATGAAAGAGCCATAATATGAAAAAGAAAAGAAAAAAAACTATCAACCGTCACGTACATAAAAGCCACATTTGATAAACCTCTAACCTGAATGAGTATTTGATCTGTTTTTATAGATTAAGTTGAATTTCAATGAACATCTTTGGGACTCTAAATTTGAAACTATTATTAACCAGTTACCAATTGAAATCCTTTCATTATCAGTTTCCCATATCTGTCTGCAGATATAATAAATCATAAATATAGTAAAACGAACTGCTTAATTTTACTGTCATAGTCAACATGTCCATGACTGTTAGTGGTTGAGATCCTCTCCAGTGATCAGCCTCAAATATTTCATCATAATGCGATGAAAGAAATCCTGAAGAACAAACTTAACAGATGAAATTTTCTCTTCTGTCATATTTGCACAATAAATATAGATTTCATTTGAAATTTTGAGTCTTTATTTTATCAATTCTCTAACATTGTTTTCCATTCATGTGAAAGTGATGCACTACAGCAGTAAACGCCACTGGCGACTCATTAAAACAAATCCTCTGGAAATATTTCACTTTAATGTAAAACATGTTTAATATTCCACTTAAAAACAGGACAGACATGAAGGAATGGTTTGGCACAATAATGTTAATGAGAAAAATCAGGAAGACACCTTGTAATGAAGGAATGAATGAGAGGCTTGCGTTGAAAGTCTTAAAACCATCTCAGTGACTGTGTGGATAAAATTGTCTCCATACCAACGTAGAACCAGAACCTGCGTTCAGACTGCATGACCTTACAACAGACATTAAAGTGGTCCAACCACCTGAGGTTTTAGGCTGCACTGCAGTGTTAAATGTCAACAGTGTCCCATGTTTGTCGCCTTGAAGCCGTCTACATAAAATACACATTTATTATGGCAACAGTGCAAATATGCAAAAACACCCATCCTCAATAATAAAACACTGTCAGCTGTGAAAATAAAGCTAAACCTGTTTAGTTTGGCTGAGTGTTCAGTCTGCTTGATCCGTTGTCACTGGAGTGGCTTCACAATTTTCATGGAGATGTAGTTCTGAAACAGAGAAGTTAAGACGAGTTAGCGCTGCTCCGGTACCTGGACTATATTATTTGGAGTATTTTTCATAAAAGATATTTAGAAAAGTTTCAGGTAGAATTAGATATCACTGTAACCTCACTGCAAACACTGCTGCAGTGCTGATGATGAACTTGGATCAAATGTCCAAACTTTGTCATGTGGGTCAAAATTACCAAGTCAAAAGTAATTGGCAGCCAGATTTATATCGATTAATAAACTAAGCATGCTGTATTTTAATAGAAATCTTAGCATATTTTTTGCAGGTTATGAATATTTATGTTTGTTTTAATTAAAAGAAATGACTGAAATCCAAATTGCAAATTCTTTTTAGGGTTGATTATTTTCCATATTCTGTGCTTAGAATTTGAAGTCTAAATTCAGTCATAACTGTGAAAATCCTTGCTGTATATAGTTTAACAAATTATTAAAAGCAGATTTGGTTGAACTAGTTTGGGTAAAACTCAATGAATATATACATTAAGTATAAAATGATCAAAAAAAAAAAAAAAGCAAATAGTGTGGTTATTAAAGGACATATACTTTCATGTTATGTAATTTGCTCTTACTGGTAAAGAGTACAGCAGGATGGCGATGAAGAGCACGACGATGATGAGGATAATGAGTCCAATGAACACCCACTTGAACCTTCTCCATATAATGAACTTCATGGTCTTGCAGGGGTTAGTGAACCAGAAGAAAGAGGTTTCTGGACGGCTGGTGAGGGAATAAAGCAGCGTTTGTTCAGTTGAACTGAAACCCGGCCCGTTCTGTACAGTTCGGTACGGCGACTTCTTACTTGGGAAAGTCTAGCTTTGGGTTCATGTTGGGTTCGTCCCGTCCTTTTCCTGCAGGTCTCTCGTCTGCTTCTGCTTCACTCACAATCTCCAGCGTCATCTCCACTTTACCCTGCCAAGATGAAAAAGTGAATAAGTTTGAACTAGTCTGTCCACAGATTCTCATTAAAACTGCTCTACAAACCTTACTGCTCCTCTTTTTACCTGAACGGTTAGAGCTACATCTCAAGAATTTATTTTTATACTTGAATCAAACTATTCAGAAATTTGTCTTACAATGCAATAAGGAAGGTCTTTGTTAAAAAAGAAACACTGTACTTACACCCAGTACTCTCTTCCCGTCCTGTTCGATGGAGCAAGGCCACCAGCCTCTGACTGACTGCTGAGCAAACAGAGACTTGGCAGTCGTCAGTTTGTCTGGTGTTCCGATTTCCAGATTATCCATCATGTCCAGGGAGCATTTCTCTGGAGTTTTGGCAGGAGGGACCAGCTTGCGTAAATCCAGCTCCAGCATGCCTGAAAACAACAAGAGTCAACAAGTTTTGTAGTTTCCACAGTTATGAAAGTAAATACTGTGTGACACAAGGTGCAGTTTTGGGCTTTTACCTAAGTAATCGTCCAATGAGAACTTGTCGTTATCCCATATCTGAAGCAGCAGCTTGGGAGGAATCCTGAACTCTGTATTGTCAAGACTCCAAAAGTGTTCCTGTTGCAGAACGAATACACACACAGTTATATTCATTCAACAAAGCTGGTCCACTTTACAAAAACCTTAAACACGAATTACCTTCTTGGAGACGAGGCAGAGCTGTTCAGCTGGCAGGTAGTCAAAGCCAAAGACAAACCGCCAGTTAAAGTTTCCGTCTCCATCCAGAGACCTGTAGTGTACGTCAGTCTTCTGTTTGTCCTCCTCCATGCCCGGCATCCAGCTGCCACAGAGAATGACAGAACTCATGCACTCATGAATGTCCTTTGATTGGACAACAAACAACCCTTAGAGAAAAACTAGACAAGGTTTGAATTTACCAAGGAAAATTTTTCTCATCCACAATTGAGACTGAATTCTATATTCAGTCTCAAAAGTACATAACTAATATTTGATTAAACATCACTGTGTGAGCAACACCTTGACCACAAGCTTTCTGTTGCCATCAACATGATTCAATATGGTTTCATTTGTAAAGTCGCTTCTTGTTGTTGAAGGACTGACTGTACCCTTTCACGTAGATGTCGCTCATGTTCTCTCCTGTGATGCTGGTTTCATCCAGAGTGACGTCGGTGGTGTTCCAGATGACCGCTCGCAGGAAGAACCTGAACATCGGCACAGGTCGTAAGGTCAGGTCAGCTTGGTGGCATAATTGTGCGTTCAACGGGGGAGAAACATTGCCGACTTACTTTTTGGGTTTGCGGGGTGTGATGTCAAAGGGAGGACCAGGGAGCCCGATGCTTTTGGGGAAGACATCTACCCACATCTGAAGCCTTCCCTTTAACCAACACATAATGTAATCAGTATAAACACTAATTTGACCATATATTCAGATTTGTTTTCGTCAAGGCAGTCATACCAAAATAATGCTTCAGATTTGTTACATGACTATGAAATTTAGTGTAGTTATTAGGACCATATGTGATAGACAAACACAAAGTAGTGCATAAGTAGTGGAAGGAAAACATTTTTTTAATATGTACACAAAAATGTGACATCCATTTGTGTTAGTCAAAATAAATAAAATAAAATTTCCACCACAATTACCACTTCAGGTGTTTGAGGAACACATCTAGTTTTGCAAATATAGAAACTGAAAATAAAACCTTAAAAAAAAAAAATCCAATTGGACTCAATGTCTGAAACAACATACTTTTCAAAAAAAGGTTTTTGCATAAGGATGGGGTTTTTTTTTTTTCAGTCATATCAAAATTCAGTCACAAAACTGCAACAGAAACATTTTTTTTTACATCACCAGTCACATAATCAACAATCAGATGTTACTACTGGCCAAAACGACAAAGACAATGACAGGAAGATGACGTTTTTTTCTTTTTCTTTTTTTAATTATATAGAATATAGACACATTTGCACAATGGCGATGGAAATGCAGCTACTGTAAGGCTACAATGAATTTTATTAAGGGGCTGAAAATAAATGCAGTAAAAACTTTTCAGATTTTTACTTAAAAAAAACCCCAACAATTTAAAAGCTATGCATGACTGAACTGCTGGGTGACTGATGTCTAACCTGAGACAGATTTGGCTGGAAGGAGCTGTAGAGGGTCCTGGTCTCCACGTGTTCAGGAACGAGTCCCTGAGTTCTGAGGACGTGCAGACAAAGGCGTTCCCGCGGCGGGCCCAGGTGCTGGTGAATTTCCGTGTTGTTTTCTTTACGACAAAACAGAGTTTCATTTAAACTGGTTGAAACAAGCGACCCTTTCTTACATCGTTTTAATCTCTTACCAAACTGAGCCAAAGTGTAATCTTTTCCGTTGAACGTAAGCGACGTGCCGTTGTCCTCCGTCCTGGGCTTGGACAGGCCTTTCAGTCGGGCCAGGTTCTCCAGGATCTGAGATGGCTTCAGCTGATCCCGCCACTGGTTGATGCCAGAGCTTCGATGACACAGAATCATATTTCACATCCCTGTCCTTAAAAGCTCTTCAGATGTTTCACTGCATGTGAGGATGATAAAATCAAGCGGGCCGATAGTTTGCTCACATGCAGTAGGTCTGAGGAAGGCCGCAGTAGGAGTTGTATCGAGATAGGAAGCGGTTCTCGAGGTCAATGACCGTCTCGCCAACCTTTTCGTCACGAGTCAGGAGATCATAGTCGTACACGGCGATTTTCAGGTCCTTGTCTTGAGGCAGGAAACACGTCATCTCAAACATCCTGAAAAAGTGGAAGGTTGGAAAATGCTCAGCGTGACACTGGGGGAAGGATGAACAACAAGGCCAGTAGATTCACCTTCCAAACACAGGGTTCAGGGTGTTGGGCAGGTAGTTATCTCTGTCATCCATTGTGTTTCTGCCCACTGATATTTTAATGTACGGGTCACACTGAAAAGACATAAACCAAATTAAAGTGGAAAAACCAAGAGCATGACGATGATTGTTTTTTTCCCCACTACAGCTCAATTCTCACTCTGCCGTTGTTGTCTTTAGGCTGCAGGTCAATTGCCCGAACCACATAAATTCTGACCAAACACTCCTGAGGTCCGCTTTCCGGCAGCTCTCGGAACTGCCGGGGTGGGGCAGCAATGCTGGGGTCATCTGGCAGTGGGTACACTTTGAATGCCCCCTAGTGGTAGGAACAGGGAAACACAGATGAGCTCAGGAGAGTGTGGTAGCTTCCATAAAGCAAACCACGACAGGGTTTTTTGTTTTGTGTTTCTTTAAAAAACTAAAGTATTTATTATACAACACAGTATGACATGCATAGCAACGGTACATTTGTTAAAAAGAAAAAAAAAAAAACAAAACTGTGGGTTAATGAATGAATGTTGATGACAGTGTGTGTGTGTGTGTGTGTGCATGTGTGTGTATATGCGCGCGTGCATGTGTGTGAGCAATGACTGTGGACTGAATGAATTAACACCGACATTATCAGTGTATAAAGAAATTAAAAACATCAATCACGTCATAATAGTGAAAAGAATAAATCAATAAAGTCAGTTAATCGTAAATGTGCAATGGATCAATTACTTTAATTTTTTCAACTGAATTGGGACCATTTTGCATCACTGAATCGAAAAATGACATCCATTTTTTCTCAATCAGGTCAGGTTTTTGTTCCAATTTGATTTAGAAAAATCCCATCTTGTGACTAACTTGATGACATTTTTGTGACATCAGTTCATTTCTGTTCATATTTCTCATCCAAAAAAGGTTTTAGGAGAAAAAAAGTGTTTTCTAAGAGTGTATTAATTAAATGTTACAAACTTGGACTTCTGTAAATTGAATAATAAACACTGAAGTTCATGTGAATTGAACATTACATCTTCATTGTGTAAAATTCTCCGTCTCTTTTCTGTCCTGATGGAATCTCTCCTTCTGCTCGTCACTCACTGATCAGATTCTCAGGAAACCAATCCACATGAGAGAACAAGTCATGAATTTTGATGCTCCTGTTGCTCCATAGTTCAGAAAGTTGACCTGGTTGAGCAAAACCAATGGCATTTTTGGATTCGGCTCATCAAAACAGTTGAAAACCCCAGACAGTTGTTTTGGCTGTTGACCAGTGTTTTATTCTGAATATGTTTTGGTACCAAACGGACCTTGAACTCTCCGACCACGGTGGGGTCTTCGTCCCCGTTTTCATTCTTGCCTCGCTGCAGTTTGAACGTGTTGCAGAAGTCGGTCAACCCTTTGAAATCGTCGACATTCTCCAACTCACGGTCATACACCTGAAAATTTGCACCAACATTTAAGATTTGTGCAACCAGAAACATAATTCTGTTTGCCACATAATGAGCTGTGATGGGTCAGGATCATTTCGTGTGAGAAGAAATCAAGTCTGCGTACTTTAAGGGTGTCGTAGCCTTTGCTGGTGTAAGGGCCACATTTCTCCTGGTCTCCAACTGAAGCGTAGAATTTACTCCACCAATCAACCGTTTCCTTTTCCTGAAGTGCAGTTGTGTTGCATGATTATCTTGGCAGAGTTAAATGTGCAATCAGAACTTGAAAGATAGAAATGTTTGCCTCACCTTTTCTGAGTGCTTTGAAGACAGACAGGATGAGGAAAAAGGTCAATAAATGAGTCAGTCATGACATCATCAAAGGACACACATGGCGAAGGCGATGTGGCGAAGGATTAGTGAGCATTCCTGTTTTTATGATTGATGGTACAAGGGTGTAACAAGGAAGGCAGATGCACCTCTGAAAGAAGTCTTCAAATGTTACCAGCACTGACCAATCAATAAAAAAGGTTCAAATTAGAGGTTAGATTTATAGCAGGAGCTGAACCAAAATTCAGACCAGGATGGGTCAAAATTATCTGGTTGGTGATCGAGTCAGGCTCGCGCTTCTGTGGTGCATTTTTCACAAAGCGTACAGGACAAACAGCACAGAGAAAACTAAATGAAAAGTGTGAAATAAAGACGTGTTAATCTAATTATAACAGTCTAAAAAGTGGATCACCCTGCCAAGGAAAGAAAGAATGGTGCACTAGTTAGGACTAACAAGCGCAGCGCATTAAACTACTAATGTAGACTTCAGGCTCTAATTAGAGTTAATGTTTGGATGTTTTTTTAGGTCCAACCTAAAAAAAAAAAAAAAAAAAAAAAAAAAAAAAAAAATTTTCCACTAAAAAAAATTTTAAAAGGGTATTAAAACCCTTTTTTTTTTTTTTAGAAGGCGGTAGGGGT